TCGTCAAGAGACATTCGTGTTTCCATTCTCCCCAGATTCAGTAGGTCGTTCACCTTCTCCTCCTCACACTGACTGCTAATAGCATTGAAGGCCTCGATCCATAGCTTTAAGCGCTATTTGGAAGCGAAACAGCTCCATGAAGCTGACTGGGAGCCGGTCGTAATGACAACACAGAAAGCACTGGCAATGACACCACCAGCCTTTCAGAGTATCGTTAACAAAGGGAGTCCTGTGGTCTTGGTAGGCCAACCAGAGCCTATCGCCTTCGACCTTTCAGCGCTCTTTGGGCTCATGGACTTTCGGTCTGAGGTTCGCTGCATCTGTGAGTTCTTTTCTTTGCCCATTCTTTCCATCTTCAACCGATTTTTAGGTTCGGATGATGTTTCATCAACCGGAGATCAGCAGCTTCTAGTGATGAGAGCGGGGGATGCTGCTCAGGAGATGTGTGATTGGCAGAACTCCAGGCCGTTGATCATCGCCCATGCCTCAACAGCCGCTACCGAGTATCAGCCGATAGAGAGGTACGTGTGTCTGTTTACTCCGCAACTATGTAGCTCACACGACTCAGGCTTCTCAATACCCACGATGCAGCGCTTGTGGATTTCCGTCTGGAAGATCGCCCATTTCGTGTTCAGGATTGGAGAGGGCCGGTTATCTCAGCTGTGGGTTCTATACACCCCCCCCACCAGCCACCCAACGGCGTTGGCATTAGTCTTCACTGCACTAGTGGACACATCGTTTTCTTCATCCCTATCTTACGAGATGACCAACAAGTCATCGTCAATTTCCAGGATGTGGACGTACCTGTCGCTCTGGGCTTCGAATATCTGTATGAAGCTCCACATCGTTTCTCCTCATTCGTTCTTTCCCCTGGCCAAACAGTGTAAGTAATCTTGCTGCCTCTTGTAAAGGGTGCCCCTTCGATGACTTTATCTTCAGCATCTTCCCCCCTGGCCAAATATATGCCTATGCCACGTTATCTCGAAGGGTTGACGATGATGGTGAGGTCAGCCCGGGATCTATCATGCAAGCATCGTACTTCCTTGCTGCTGGGTGCATGAAGCGCTCGTTCTTTGCAAGCTGGTTGGATCGTAGCTCTGCTGATCAATCGGCAAGCGAGGATGCTTGGAGTTCCACAGTCACTACGTGCCTGATGGCCATGGTGTTGAAGGCAGTGCGTGCCTTATCCACTCCAGAGGGACAGATTCCCCACTCTCCAAACGTTGTCAACCTCTTCGCGCTGGCTTCTATGGCCATGATGTTCGTTGGGGAACATGAACCAAATCTGACTGCAATGGCAAAGGCACTCTGTCGCCACTGTCAGGACCAAGAACCAGATGAATGTTCCAAACTCCTCGACGAGTTCCATGACCTCAGGATCGCCAACCATGCATACAAGGTTGCTGACCTTGATGATACGGTGCGGAAGGACTTCGATACCAAGGCATCTTGCTTCCGTCAGAGCATGATGGAAGCTGTTGAGAAGATCCATCCTTTCCCACGAGACACCCAGGAATAGCTGGTGAGGGCCAGTAATGTGGCAAGATCTCTTCCTTTCTCCTTCCCCCCCCCCTCCCCCCCATTTGTACATATATTTCCATTTTGTTTGTACAAATGACACCGTTCATGTGTGAGAATGGCCAGTCAACATCAAAAAAATGTCGTGGTTAAGTTGGGGTGGTTTTGCTGAGTAGAAAGAAGTGACAGGTTCATTAGAACCAGCCAAATGGCCAATTTCCGAAACCATTTTTACATAATAAACGTGTCGCATTTCTAAGTGATCGGTTGCTTCTGATTGGCCAAACCATGACAATTTCCTGACAAATGGGCACGCTGATATATATGCTACAGAGTATTGTTGGAAGTAACAGCCCAACGCCACAGTCAGGGGCGAATCCCGTTTTGGGGGGAAGGCATCACGATGCCATAGTAACTTAATATTTTAGTCCATCTGTGTCCAGGTTTGTGCATGGTTACAATCTCCTTGCATCTAATGGCTAATTAAACTATTCTGTAAGCCTGCCTCGATAGAGCAGCATCGTGCTGGACGCCGTTCATGGCACAAGCTGATGAACCAACATCGGATCGTGGAGGTGTCCCTGTTGCATCAATGCTGGCTTCCGGACGCGTCGACTCCACGTCAACACCCAATCCCCCACGCGTCAGATTGGAGACGCCCTCAGCACATTAGCATTCTGTCGATTGTGCGGCCTCCAACGCCGATCTAAGTGGCACTGCTGCACGCTCTGATGCCAATGCATCGCCAGCTGTGGCTCAGTGTTCATCCCTCCCTGCCAAATTGATATGCACGTCACTAGTACCGTCCGACATATCATCACCATCATCCAACACCTCGTCCGACGCGTCCCCAACGTCAAAACATCGTCGTCGAGGCCGGAAGAAGCGCTGATCTAAGCTGCGTTCAACAACTCTCCCTTCCCCCGTCACTCCCATGCCCACGAAAATTACATTAAAATCATTCTTTCCCTGTTCTGACATACGCTGCTGTTGCCGGCAAGAACAGGCGATTCCGCATCTCCATCCAAACATACCCTCTGCAAGCACTATCCTCCGCTCTGGTATGATACCTGACTGACTGAACTTCATGCACTCAAAGAACTTCTGTACGCCGTGTACGTACAGTGTAACCCTCTATGTCGCATCCAAGAACACACATCTCCTGTATCATGCCGTTTTACGTAAATACATAGTGTGGGTTCGTTCGTGTAATAATGCTTGGATCTTGCAGGTAGCAGCGATGCGAAGCACGCACTCTAGTTACAACACTGACTATGTATATAAGGACTCGGCCTGTAGCTGCGGATACCGTACTAATACACAGTATCCGGCATCTCAGTGAGGCAGTTTAACAGGTATGAACACAACATGGAAAAGGCGCAAACGCCTATGATCCCAAGGATTATAATAGGTGGGGGGTAAGCACTAAAGAAGCACAACTCAGTGTGGCGGGTTGGCACACTGAGAAGAGTGATTGCACGATAAAACCGTGTAACGCAACAGGATTTTTTCGACCATCATGTGGTTCCAGGGACTCTCACCTTCGGTTTAGCAGAGGTTGCGCGGAGCACGACTTTAATCATGTCATTCCACAGACCGTTGCCACGGCTTCGCTGGAGGCCGAATAGAGCACGATTTTATCTCGTGTAGACTCAAGTTACTGGTAGCGAAATAAGATTTCATTCAGTATCTAAGCACATCGGTCCCAGGGCCGGGACAAACGCAATTCTAAGGGGATAATACAGAAAAAAGATTCTTTGCTGGCTGGCGCATAGCGCGCATGTGGGGTTGTTCCCATCAGAGTTCACTTTGCTGGGATACATCTACACCTGCAGCTAGCGAGTCGTCTGTGAAGACGGTGCGAGCCCAGGAACCGCTGCGGTCAACAATGGCCCATTGAGGATCTACCACACCGATTCGGATGCGACCAACCACTGCGCAACGATTTCAATGTACGAATACGCTCCAGTCATCCGTAGCTGTCGACGCCTGACTGTCTTCGTTTGCCATCCCTCATTCTTATCCAGTACGTCCGTTCTTCCAGAGAGATTTGGCCTGGTAGTACTCGTTCATTTGCATTCAACATGATCTTGATGATCTCTCCGTGTGAGCCGTTTGCAATGTTCCTGTCAGTATCAATGTTCGTGGTAGCTCCTACAGCAATTTCGATTTCGTCTGCGAGTTTGGTCCCGTCGTTCTTCTCCCCCCCCCTTTGCTGGCTTGTGGAAAGAACGGGTCTCCATCCAAACGCACGTTCGCTGGACCTTCTTTTTCCCAGTAAACGTCAACGCCATCAACACTAGTTTTATGAATGTTGACTGTAACTCTGGTGTTAATGTTTTCTCTCCATTATGAACAAATTTAACCACTGGCCATATTAATATACATATGAGAGTCTCAACTTAAGTCTAACACCTCAAAGTTACTTCATTTCTAACATGTGCCGCCTTCGCTATATTACGTTCTCGAGAGTCGAGCCGAATCCCTACAAGCAAGGTCACGGCTGCGTAAGCGGCCCCTCTAGTACTATCATAAACGGAGAAGTCCAATAGCAGTTTGAATGTGCAGATAAAGATATGATCACATATGCGAACAAAGGAAGCATCACGGAAGGCCCGCTGGCCAGTCATCTGCCCACCTCGAATAAGATCGCCTCCATTTCCGATGCGAACTTTTGCCCAGCGTGGCATTGTTTGTGGGAGGATATCCAGCCAGGACCTGATCGAGCCACCAAAAGATGTCTTCAAATGCTTAGCGATCTTTCTTCGAATGGGTAGGTCAGGAATATGTTGCTGGATGACAGGATTGCGTAAAAAAGATATTAGATCTGCATAAATGGATTTAGTTGGTATGGTGGGAATGGGCAGAAGACAGTTTGTAAACCGTTTCCCATGCTGTGAAGGGACATTTATATCCGGCCTATGCGGCATCAACTCAGCCAAGTTGTATCGGTTGAGGACTTCGAACAACTGTGCTGCCTGGTACTGTCTCAGCACTGACTGGAAACATACGTAATTTCACAATCATCGTAGCAATAAACCTGGTCAATCTCTGATGTCTGGTGCTCATATTCAAAAGGGATTTCAGCATTTTCCTGTGGGGAATTCCTCATGATGTCCTTCACAATGGGATTGGGAACAAGCTTTTGTCTCTTGTAGTAGTTCTGAGAAATCGGACGGTTTAGAAGGCGTGACCTCTCTATTTCGCGACGCCTGCGGGCCATGCCACCCGAATGTCTAGGGTTCCGAGGCCCAATCGCTGAGATTCTGTGGCGCGCATAAGCCATTACTAGCCCAAGAGAGTTTCAGAGAGCCCCAGAAAGTTTATTTCAAGTCCCGAGCGAATCGCTGTCTCTCAGAAGGCAGATATGCACCAGTAATGAAAGATTGTGCTAGCAACACGACAACCAGGAAAGGGCGCTCGGGACGCTGTTGTGGGGACAAGTCCATGCGGGTTAAAACGAGCCTCATTGCACACTTCACCCTTTACTGCATCAGGGATTAGGATTGGTGAGTCGGGGTAATAGTAGTAGTTGTAGAGGTTGTAGAGGTGGTTCTGACGAGTCCAAGATCGTTGGTTGAGGAGATATGACATTTTCTTTATTATCTTTACTATTTTCATTCATTCACGCATGCGACTTTCCTTTTCTATTTGGATCGGACTCTTCCGTGACACTATATAGTAGTTAGAGAGGGTTATCAGCACCGTACCCAAGGACCCCACTACATCTGTCTGACACTAGAGAGAGACCTACCCCCCCCCCAGACCTGAGTTACGAGTCTAGCTGGATAGACCCGTTACAAGTCTGGTGGTCCTTACAGGGGGGTACACTTCTCTTGTCATCACGCAAGTTTCACACTGTTCATTCGTTTGAAAAACTTATCATTCGCTGTGGATATCAAGTATTGTTGGTTGCAGACACAGAAAAACAAGACTAGTACAAGCCCAGGGATCCAAGTGGGATCCATACGCATTAGACGCACACACTCGCTGCAATTGTCCACTCCTGGAGGATCTCAAGAAGAGGCACAGGAGTCCGTGTTTGGGATCTACGAGTTACGGATCCACACGGTTTGCACAAGTTTACCCGAATCTATCGTGATTGTTGTCTCCTGGCAGACCTCAAGACGAGGTACAGGAGTCTGTTTTATTTGTTGGTCAAGTCACTCCCTCCTGGTGGATTTCAATTCACGTTCATTCATTCCCCATTGCCGGACATCAAGAGGCATAGGGATTCACGATAACATTATCATATCGGGCCCAGAGTTGCCCGGACGTTCTAGAAGCCCACTCCCGAGTTTTTACTTTCAAGTTGATCTTTTGCATGGATCCGCGTCCTGCCATTGTAGCGCCCATGTTTTACACGCCCATGCCGATGCCCCGCAGCCCAGATGCACCCCGATTCAGAGGCAAATGGATTGTCCTTAACAAATACGAGTCACTGGCTGACGCAGCACTTTTCACGGAAGCTCAGAAATGCGATTTTCTGACCGCTTACTGCACTGACAAGGAAGCGAGGTTTATTTCCATGCTGGACGGATTCGAGAACCCAAATTGGGTGTCACTCAAGAAAGACCTGCTGGACTTTTATGGCGTTGACGAAGAACCCTTATTTTGCCTCAAGGATCTCCGCAAGTTCGTAGAAAAAGGTCGCAAGATGAAGACCCTTGATCACCTTGACCGATATTTGTACAAGTTCGAAGCCATTTCCAAGTCCTTAGAGGCACAGGGTGCCCTCGCCGTTGTTGAGTGCGATGATTTGTTTTTCCATGGATTTCGTCGAAGTTTAGGCACAAGCTCAAGTTCGATCTGCAAATTCAAAGTCTGTGGCTTGATTTGACTCAGCCCCCCAGCATGCACGATGTTGTTGCAGCGGCGAGGGCCATGCTCCAAGATGCCCACGATCACGAAACAACTAGTTCCCATTTATGGATGTCCGATGCACGGACCAGTGTAAATGTCGCTTCACCATTACTTTCAATGCAGTTCACAGTCCAGAGTGATTTCGTGCCCGAGTTCGATGCAGAGACAAGTGCCAATGGCTCGATGCTAGATCAGATGGACCAGTACCAATCCGAAGCCTGCGAAGCGCGGAGCGCCTACGGAACCAAGTCTATCGTTATGTCCGGGGATTACGTGGCTGAGCCAGAATTTGATGACGCAAGACTAGAGGCAAGTGCCTGCGACAGTGCAAGTTTTTCCGAGGTGTTAGAGCTCAATGATCAGTGCTAAGGCCTAGCAGCCTCGAACCTGTCTCAGAACCCGACGTTCTTGAAGACCAAGTCTGCCAGACCTTAGAGCCGGCTGCGATCTACTCAGTGTCTCCAGACAAAGCCGGAGAGCCTCAGCCAACGGAGGCGATTCCATAATACGAATCTGATATAGCCAACCGCAAAATAGTCGATGATGTCTTCGATTTAGACTCGCGTTCTGATGATGAGAACTTTTGCGAAACAGCCCATGATGTACCCGGCCTTGACTTGGATTCGCGCTGCCATGATGAAAGTCCCCATGAGACGGTTTATGAGTGCTTCGATCTGGACTCATATTTCAGTGATGGTACCGATAGCGAACTGGGTGATGACTACGATCCAGACTGGGAGTCGTACATTGCGAAGTCTAAAGCTGGTGACAATGGGAAGGCCCGCGAAATGATGTGTTCCAATGTCGCGGACTCGGACTTGAGTATCCAGGATGAAGACCACCGCAGAAATGGTTCACTTTCAGTGACAGATGCAGTCCATTATGTTGTGTACAGCACGTTGCCAGTTCCATCGCCTTTGCAGTATACAAGTGACTTGACACCTGAGTCCGACACGGAATCGAGCCACAGATCAGAGACGCCAAGTGTCGCCGAGTCTGGCGTGGAGATGAGCTCCTGCGATGCCCTTACCAGTTCCTCTGTATCGCCAGAGCCTGAGGACAAAGAGCTAAGGCCTAACGGCCTTGAGTATGTCTATGAACGCGACTCCTTCGCTGAAGACCTAGGTCCCTCAAAGCAAGTGCCTACCGAGCCGCTAGATCAATGCCCGTCCAAAACACTCACGACACCCAGTGCTGCTGAGGCGAAGTCGATTGCCATACCACTGAGTTATGAGTCCGAGCAAGAGCTTGACGATGCAAGCTACTTTGACGTACTAGAGCATAGCTATAAAGAGCTTGGGCCTAGGGGCCTCGAATGCACATTGGAATCCAAGATTCTCATACAAGACCTCGTTTGCCCAGATGAAGTCAAGGAGCCTCAGTCAATGAAGGCGATCGGATTTTATGACGAGTTTCGCCTGGCCAAGTACAGCAAATCTTGCCGCAAAAGTTCTGAGCACAAGTCGGATGTGTTCAGGTTGAAATTTGAGTTAGAAACGTCGCCTATGTCCAAGGATGCGACTGTACTGCCATCTAGCAGAGACTACTACCTTACATATGCGCGAGGAGAGCGTGTCTCAGAACAGGCAATGGCAACGGATGTCTTATGTCGAAGTAAGGTCGAGCCTATGTCCCCCAGCATGAGCCCACGCCACAACGTGTTTATTCCCAAACCGTTGTTACTGGTTGAACATCTCATCCCAGCCAAGGCAACCAGAGTAGTGCCGGCCATATTACTTGATCAAGATTATGCCAAGTTACCCCCGCGCGCGCTGATCCTTACGCCAGAGACGTGCAGATCCAACCGGCCGAGGCTTAGTGATAGCCAAAATCCTATTTCACATAGTGCTCCATGCCACTCAAAACCAGCCATAGCAGTCGGCCATGTCAAGTGCCCAGCTGGGACACGCTGCGAGCATTCCGCTGAGCCCCAAGCCGAACCTCCGTCCAGAGCCGAGTCTGAGTTGGACCAGTTACTTAATGACTTAGAGTCGTTCATCGTTGAAGACCGTAACGACGCTGAGACCCCCGTTGAGCTTGGGGACACCAAGTCATCGAGTCCAGAGGTGACTCGCGCAATGTTCTGGTCTTCAAATCAACCACTGCATGAGTTGTACGATGTCAACCAAGATATTGAAGTACCCGACAATGCTAAAACGTTGCATGTTGAGCCTGAGCTGGATGAAGGCTATATCCCGCTGCCCGAGAAAGACCCAGATAAGGCCTTAGAGGCACAGCACGGTCTGGGCAGCCAGTCGGCCCCACTTGTGCGTGAGCCTGGAACAAACCCAGAGGCCCAGCACACCCAGGTCACCGAGTTCCCCGGTGACACCCACATACTCGCGATGCCGGAGGGCATCTTTTCCCAAACTGCCGTGGAGTTAGAGGCCAAGCTTAAAGAGGTAAGGCCTCCCGGCCTTAACACACCTATGATGTCCAGGACATGCGCGCTTGTAGACCGCTTCACAGGCACCCCAGCTGTAGCATGGAAGTCCGAGTCCAGATGCGAACCAAGACGTAGCGGCCAGCTCAAGACTAAAGAGCTCAAGCCTCCCTGGCGACGCTGAGAGCATGCCCACCCCATGTGCACATAAATGGGCCCTTTCCTCTCCCTCGGGCTGTCTGTCCATTTTATGATGGGGTTGGGGATGTGAAATTTCCTCGTTGTCTGGAGCGGGTATGAGTGCGGGATAAAACCGAAAAAGCCAGCGATGTCGAAGGTGATCATCGATACCACTTTGTTGTGGTTCCCGCCATGCAGCCTCTATGTCGTGTCTGATCGCCTCCGGTCACGATGACATGAGTTTGAGGACCAAAATCCCCGATGAAAGGGATCAGGGATTTGCTGGGAAGCCCTTTTGGTATCTATGGGCAAGGGTGGCAATGGTATGTAGAGGCCAGAGTCGCTAAGTGGACGCCACGTGTCTAGACACCACCGCACAGAGAAAACTAATTCCATGACAAAATCGTGCCCGATATGCGACGGGAGTTTCGCTATTAAACACGATTTCTTCTTGGCCTAGTACATGTGATGAATCTGGCTTTTTGATCAAAATCCCGTGGTAAAATCTTGTCTTGCAACATGTTTAATCAATTTATCCTGTACAAATTCATGATCCTTGATATATCCTTTTAGTGGTGGGACCAATCCTGCTCCACTTTGAGACTTAATCGCATATCTTTGGAAACGCTATGCTGTCTGATTGAGAACTCGGCAAGCATGGTGATTATATTACATTTACCAAAAAGTTTGAGATGGGAAAGGAAGTGACGGATATCTGGATGGTCGGGATGGAATTTCTAATGGTACACATGGGTGAGAGGGTCAAGGTAATGAGGCACAAGGGAATTGGTGCAATGATAAATCAACAAGAAGATGCGGTGGCGAAGGCTGACGTTGTGAAGCAGTAAGCATGTTAACCTAGAAGGTTCGGAGTAAGTGCAAGTCAGATGCAATGGGATCAACGGACGATTTCCTTTCTGAGCCGAGCTCCTCAGGCTCGCACGTCTACTTTTTCCCTGATCGTCGCTAGCATTCTGACCCTCGCCCCTCAGGCTCGTGTGTCTACTTCTGCGCTGTTCGACATTGGCTCCTTTCTGACCCGAGTTTCTCAGGCTCGTGCGTCTAGCTCTGTCCTCTGGGTGACGGCTGTGAGGAATGCCTAGAGATTATTTATGGGAGTGTATCAAAATAGTGAGGTGGGGAGCACCCTCCCTCACCTGGTTTGGTGCCAGTCCGATTACTATTCGATTGGTCATGCAGCCCCCGAGGGTGTTTTCTACTGGTCTCCACCTCATTCTCCTCGTCCAAAGGTGCGGTTTTCTTCGGAAGGGCACGAGCTGTTTCAAAATGAGTGTGCTGAAAGAGTGGGTGAGGAAGTGACTTGCGTTTTGGTCGTGGCGCTATCATGAGTGTTGGTGAACGATGCCAAGGTCCTCTTGAAGACAGTATCAAGCAAGTACCTTTAGCTTGAGCAATGGACATCGAGGCATCTTCAGTCTCATCTTCACTTGTATGATTGTCGTAATAACGGGCACGAGGATGACCTATCCACGTCAGTGAAGCCATAGCTAAGGGAGGGGCAAATATCATACTTACGCGTAGAGTTCCGGTTAATGTCTATGTGATCATGGGGAGTGTGATTAATCTAAGAACAGGTCAACTCTGCTCACCTTCATCGGTAACAGGATCGCCAGTGTAGTTATCGTTAGGGGTCACAAGGAAGCGAAGCCTTTTCGTCCCTATGTGATTGGGGAGTATGAAAGCTGGGCGCCAGTGGGAAATATCTATGGTTAATACCCACCATTCTTTCGTGTCTGTTGAGATGTTCTCCGGTTCCAGCGGCCACCCACACCCTCGGAATTGTCGTCCGAGTCGTCATTCTCGGACTTGGTGCAGTCATCATCTGATTTGGCACCATCCTCATCTAACTCGTCAAGTCCATCGTCCGAATCAATGTTGTCTTCTGATTCAACGTGGTCCCCTTTCAGCTTGGTGCCACTTGCTGTTGCAGCACTAATCTCCCTTCCATTCCGAGAGCAATTCTGAGCCATGTTCGCTGGCCTTGGGGTCCGTGGGGCAATTTCACCTGTATGGTAGAGTGTAATCGTGGATCAGAGGTTATCGGCAGGCAGAGGAATTGTATTGCCTTTTTTCCGCCCATTTCGTCGAATGACTCTCTTGCGGTTCTCTATCGCTGTTTTGATTAGTGCCTGAATAGGCCAGGTCCCTTCATAGTTTGATTTAATCCATGGATGTTCTTTGACGATCTATGTGGTGTAAAGAATTAATGATGTTCAGAGTGATACAATACGCTCACGTCATTTCTGATCAACCCAAGCACTTCAAGGTCAATGGAGTTGTACTTCACTGTACCATTCTTGAATGATCCCCTGAGATTTGCGTGCAAAGAGGATCGAACAGATTCCTTACACGGGTTTGTCAATATAGGGCATTATGTAAAAATAAAGGCCTCACTTACTCGTACAAGATTCATCTCATCCTTCGTAATCCCCATCACCTCGGTCAGGGAGAATCCACCTTGAAGACGATCTGCACGACCCTCTGGGCGTGGTATTTGTTCTCGGATGCGTGTCTGGCGTGCTAAGGGCACAAAAATACGTTGTAGTAACTAACATACCAGCGATATTACACCTTACACATACTGTTGTCCTTCTGAATCGCTAGGCGACGCGATCGACCACAGAAGTGCTCTAAGATCCGCGTTTAGAGATAAAAGTAGCAATGAACTCACCTTGTAGCTCTCTCTCTAGCCGTTCCATTTTGTGCTGGAGGCTGGAACGCATGCGTTTTTGAGTTTTGGGGTGAGGCATGAGGAGTGGGGCGATGATGATCAAGCGGAAACGCAAATCCACTCTCGCCCACAACAGAACCAAATAAAACAAAACAGCGCGTTGTATGTAGTGGGGTCCTTGGGCTGATAACCCTCTCTAACTACTATATAGTGTCACAGAAGAGTCCGATCCAAATAGAAAAGGAAAGTCACTGCGTGAATGAATGAAAATAGTAAAGATAATAAAGAAAATGTCATATCTCCTCAACAACCCAACCAAATCCAACGATCTTGGACTCGTCAGAACCACCTCTACAACCTCTACAACTCCTACTATTACCCCGACTCACCAATCCTAATCCCTGATGCAGTAAAGGGTGAAGTGTGCAATGAGGCTCGTTTTAACCCGCACGGACTTGTCCCCACAACATATAGGCCTAGCTCTTGATTGCAGTCCCTTGAAATCTCCCAAAAAGAAAGAAGTCAAACAGCAGGGAAAAGGCAATAAACATCAGAAAGTTCAGTCCTCACTCCGCAAGGTGTGGAATGCCATGTGACCTCAAGACGTTCTCACGGGTTCTCATCGCGCGCGCTCATCTCCATCCAACCTCTTCAGCACTCACTCCACTAGGTCAAACATCCCATCAGTGGTGCACCAGCTTCCTTCAAACTCGGCACAAAGAGAAGTCGTCTTCAGAAATGCTTGTGGATCTCGCTGAGTTCCCCACCAATCTTGGCATTCAAGGGCTCGTTAGGATCCTATGATCATCTCCTACAGCTCTTCTTATTGCGTCAAGTCGCCATTCCTAGTCGTCGACGTCGTATAACGAATATGGACCGTGTATGGGTAACTGTGGACAAGTGGCAGTACTTGGGATGGATTTAGGCCAAAGGTGCAGTTAATGGCACTTGCGCTAGACGACTCGGGAGTTTGTGGTCAAAACAAACGCGGGAATTCGGGGTCAAGTGGAAAGGTGGGCCTTGGATATACATGCAAAGCGAAGGTGGTACTGTTTCATTGGCATCCAAAACTCGGGTCTAGTGATCCCAAACGCTTATGGGGAAGTGGGCGGTTTATGGGGAAAGGGGTGTAATGGATTTGGAGATCTGGTCAACTGGAGTGGGGATTTCACGGAGGTAGTGGATGAGGGGGCCTTGGGAGCTTCATAGATGGGAAGGCACACCACTCGGTGTCAGAACTCTTCGCGTCAACTTAATAAAAGACCTTGCTTGATAGGTTAAACGAGTGAGGGTGGTAACTTAAGAATGAGGCTTGCGCATTGCGTGGGTGTGTGGATGGTATAAATAAAGGGGAACCTTTAACTTCTGCATCGAAAGGTGTTGGAAAATGATTAAAAGTTGGCTTAAACTAGGATGAGGGCGGTTCTGGCTTGATGGCAAACGCGAGAAACTCAAGCCCATAACAACAGGCGTCCCTCGGAGCTCATGTATATCTTCAATTCTTGCTGCCTACATCATGTCCCTGATGTGCAAAGCTGTAGCGGAGGAAACGGCAAGGATGAAAAATGCAGACCCAGAGCTAAGCCCACAATACAACAAAGGCTCTATTGCCACTAACGCTCTATGTAGAGGATCGATCGCTGACAGCCTCAGCTCTATCTAGAGTGTCGAAGGCGATCCAACTGGCATTCACAGCAGCGCACAGGAGGCTAAAGCAGAGAGGATTAAAGACCGATCAGGTGAAGAACGACGTCATGAATTTCACCGGTAGAAATGCAGGCCCTGGCCCGTCAGTCACCCACCACGAACGAAGGTGCATGATCAATTCGTGCAACCTAATGAGATAGATACCCTGTTAGGCTGAGGTGGTTATTTCAACAGGCTGCGTATACAAGTCTCCAGCCTGCTGCAATGGAGTCCATAATTCGTTGGATTGTACAAAGAGAGGATTACATAAAAAAGAAACAGAAGAATAAAGGCACAATTTGGAATGATAGAGGACCCCTTCATTTTTTGCATGAGGGAGTCGATGACCTTATAGTAATACAATATTACAATATCATTCGGACAACTCTGCTAAATACAGCTAAGGAGATAACTAAGCAGTTAGGCCTCGTTGACCGATATATAGGATCCACACGGTGTCGAACGTCACATGATACGGTTGGTGTCCGTACCAGGCGAAACATGCATGCATGACATCCTTTTGCGTCACAGTGTACTTCCTTGCTGCTGGGTGCATGAAGCGCTGGAGCTGGTTGTATCATAGCTCTGCCGATCAATCGGCAAGCGGGGATGCTTGGAGTTCCACAGTCACACTGATGGCCATGGTATTGAAGGCAAGTCCGTGCCTTATCCACTTGCAGAGGGACGGGTTCCCCACTCTCCAAATGCTGTCAACCTCTTTGCGCTAGCTTCTATGGCCATGATGATGTATGTTCGTTGGGGAAGACGAACCGGATCTGACTGAAATGGCAAAGGCACTCTGTCGCCACCGTCAGTAGTCAAACGGATAGAAACAAGGGGTGGAAAAATGGGTGGTGGTATAAGATAAAAGTGGAGACTAACGATGTTCTCGCTCAGTCCGCTGTGCTTGAACTAATGAAGTAATTACCTGGCAATGTTCTGGATGGTATACACACATGAGTACGAAACGGAAAAAACTCCGACTCCCCCAGTGGGCGATGCGACCGGTCAAAAAAAAAGAAATTCGAAAAAAAAAAATACGTTTTGGAACTAGCTGAAGGTATCCAGGTGCACTGAAAGTTATCTAAGTACGCAGTACGCACATCTGGGGCGATTGAAGAATGCTAAATCACTTTCCATCCATGGCTGTCCAGCTGGAACTCGAACGGTGACGGGCCACTGGACTGGAGTGCGAAAAAAAAAAAAAAGAGAGAAAGAAAGAAAACACGAAACGAAAAGAAACCAAGCCAACGGCACATGCGATTGCCATGCTGGGCTTTGACAGCCGACAGCAAGTGGATGCCCCGTTCATGCCTCGGACGGACGTCGTGTTCGACGGTGCTGGTGCATCGACTTCAGGCATGGCTCATCAGTTCGGGCTTCGACATCGATGGAGGGGGTTGCAGTTTGGGGGTTTTTGCGAGTGGTCCAACGCACCATGCTCGACGCTGTTGTGGGGACAACTCCGTGTACCGCAAAAAGTCGGATTCTGTGGAATTTGGCCACCAACATATACCACATACCCTCTGACGCTCCCGATGTTCATTCTAACACTATCCAACACTCCACAAACTCATTCCTTATTTTTCCCTATTTTCCCCATCATTCCCGACAACCCCAAGCAAAATTCCCACGCCCAACCACGCCGCCAATTTCACCCCCTCTCTAGACCTCCATACCCACACTCACAACCCAGCCGTCTTTCCACCCGATAGTGATGCTCTACCACCCTTCTTCACCCCCGGAGCATTTCCCAGAATGGTAATCCCATATCCGGATGGTTCAGCACGGAGTATACTCTCACGTGGTCTTGACAGCACCTGTCAATGGCCACATCTCAAGAAGTACTGCACCAAATGGGACGAATAGGGGCTCGTTGGAAAGCTGGAGACGAGGAGGTTGCTGACGGGAGGATAGGCGGGCGCTGTGGCGAAGCGTTGTGGAGTTAACTTTTACATTTCCCATTTCGGACCCGTTATGATATATTCCCCATTCATTCATATTTCTTTTATTGTCTCTTTGTTCCCAATTGGATATTCATCATTTACGGTTGCCTAACGGCCCGTTTACATTCCCCCAGTCCATTCATTTCATTTCAAACATATAAAAACTAGATAACAGCTTGTACATAACAAGTTAGTATTGAATAGACCCGTGAAGGGACAAGCAGAAGTTGCATCCAAGTGGCAAAGACGCCATCCACGACCCTAACGCCCCCATTGAGCTAGTTGATAACGTCTAAGACCCCTCTCATCATACTACTCAGCCTTGACGTCCAAGAGAGATGTAGGTGAGTGTTTGTTTGAGGTTTTTGCAGACCCAGTAGCACCCACGGACCAAAACCCGGCCCAACGAACCACACCCGTGCACACTACCACCCTCCCCCTTCTCTCTGTCTCGAGTCTAGGCGATAGACCCGTTACAACGCCCACAGGCCAGCGTCACACATCTCAGCGAGCTGCCTCGTGTCCTGCCAGCGTAGACAGGGATTTGGACGGTACTTTAGGCCAATACAAAAGCGGTCCCCATTGCGGGCAAGCGGGAGCTGGTGCGTTTGGCCCTCTTCTTATCTTATCGCCTCTGCCGTTCTGAGGTTTTCATGTCTACTCGTTCAGACTTGACTTACGTGCGGTAAAATGGCTGGATATCGGCAGCATTTATCATTCACCTTTCTGCTCGCCTCGACACAGCCCACCGCATTCCCCCTTCCTCCGGCATTGTGGCTTCCACAGGCCAATATAGGTGCGATGAAACCGTGACATGTCAGGAGCGTTCATCTCGCCTCTTTTCTCGCTCCACGCACCAGCCTCCATCGGATCGTTTTGGCTCCATGCACCTTTGGTGGCTCTTGCCACCTGGGTGTCCTAGCACGCCTCCCTTCCAACAGGCTCATTTTGCAAGCTCCTCCCAACATCGTCATTTTTAATATTCCACACTCCCTAAATACAATCGAAACAAAAGTCAACGTGAGTTTGAGAAGAAAAAGAACTGGAATGGAAAAAAAAATTTTTTTCTTTTGGTGTTTCATGCATCGGATCCCAATCTATTTTCAACACCAGGCATAGCCTATTACTGATGTACCCCGTGGATGTTTGGGCACCCAAATATAGCCTATAATCGTGGCTTTCCAACGGTACTAATAATTTAGAATTCTGCTCAGTGGTTGCCGAGTTATTCATCAATGTTTGCATGTACCCCCTTGTACCCCGATGTACCCCGCACTTTTTCTCAGCAGTTTACTTTAAAACACCACCGGTAAATAAGATATGTTTTAGGGGCTACTAGGGCCTACCAAACGCAAAAGAAACCAAATAAATAGCTGTTGTCATTGCTGAGTTATTCACAAAACAATTGTTAGGGGGTACAACTTGAAAGAATGTAAAATATCTCAGG